AGCGCCAGCTCCTTGGCTGCGCTCTGCTCCTTGGCCTCGGCGGCCTGGAGCTGGGAGCGCAACCTCAGCACCTGCGACACCAGCTGCTCGTGCCTGTGGCTGGCAGCCCGCCACGCTCCGTCGGCACGCTTGGCCGACTCCGCTGCCGACTCGCGAGAGGCGGCGGGGAGCGTGGCGAGACGGCTGCGCTGGGCAGCGAGCGCCGTCTTCATCTCTTCATCCTGCGCCGTGCGCAGGGCCTTCTCCAAACGCTCGTCCAGCTGCACCGTGGCCTGATCCTTGTTCTTGCGGCCCTGGCCGCGAGAACGATTACTGCCCACACTGCTGTTCTCCCAATCTGTCTCGTCCTCGAAGTGCACATGACGAGGCCCGTGGGGTTTGAACAGCTTCTTCATCTGGTGACTGCAACTCGGACATTGCATGCTATTGGAGCGAAACTTGTCATTGTACTCGCACTTCTGGCAATTGCCGCAACGTGTCCATGGCCTGGCACGTGGCGGAGACATCCCTGCTTTCGCGAACGCCTGCAAAAGTGTCAGGATTGCAAGCGAACAAACTCAAGCACCACTCTGAGGTACAGGGAAGGACTCGCGCGGAACGGGTGTGCAGACGGCCCCCAGGCCTCTGACCCGTTTGCTCGAGCCCAAGTGGCTTGAGGAAGGAGGAGGAGGAGGAGGAGGAGGAGGAGGAGGAGGAGAAAGGAGGAGGAGGAGGAGGAGGAGGAGCAGGAGGAGCAGGAGCAGGAGCAGGAGGAGGACGAGAAGGACGAGGAAAAGGAGGAGGAGGAGAAGGAGAAGGAGGAGGAGGAGGAGGAGGAGGAGGAGGCAGGAGCAGAAGCAGAAACATGAGCAGGAGCATGAACAGGAGGAACATGAGGATGAGGAGGAGGAGGAGGAGGAGGAGGAGAAGAAGAAGGACACGGAGAAGGAAGAGGAGGAGAAGGGGGAGGATGATGATCATACTATGAATGATCTTATTACTTAAACTACTAATGACATAGCCATAATAATGTTAATACTACTATCAACCATCGCAGTACTCATAGTACTGATACTACTAATACTACTGACACGTTTCAACTATTAATATTACAATTAATAGAAATGATAAAGAGGACAAGGAGGAGGAGGAGGAGAAGGAGGTGGAGGGAGGGACTGGGAAGGGAGAAGGAGGAGGGGAGTTGGAATGAGGAGGAGGAGGAGGGGGAGGAGGAGGAGGAGAGGAGGAACTGGAAAAAGGGGAAGGAGGAGGAGAAGGAGCAGGCGAACAAGGAGGAGGAGGCGGAGGAGGATGAGGAGGAGGAGGACGAGGAGGAGGAGGAACATGAGGAGGAGCAGGAGCAGGAGCAGGAGGAGGAGGAGGGAGGAGGAGGATGATGATGATGAGGAGGAGGCGGAGGCGGAGGAGGAGCAAGATGATAAGGAGGAGGATACTGAGGAGGAGGATACTGAGGAGGAGGAGGATGAGGAGGATGAGGAGGAGGAAGAGGAGGAGGAGGAGGACGATGAGGAGGAGAAATGAGGAGGAACAGGAGCGGGAGCAGGAAGAGGAGGAGGAGTAGAAGAAGGAGGAGGAGGAGGCTGACACGGAGGACAAGGAAATTGATGCCGATGATGCTGCTGCTGATGATGATGGTGCTGACGATGATGATGATGCTGATGATGATGATGAGGAGGAGGAGGAGGATGAGGAGAAGGAGCAGGATGGGGATAAGGACGAGGAGGAGGTGCTGGAGGAGGAGGAATATGACAAGGTTGATGAGGAGGATGGGGAGGATGAGCAGGAGGAGGAGTACGATGATGATGCTGCTGACGTTGATGATGCTGATGATGAGGAGGAGGAAGCGGAGGAGGAGGAACACGAACTTGAACATGAGGAGGAGGATGAGGAAGAGGAAGAGGAGGAGGAGGAGGAACGGAGAAGGAGGAGGAGGAGGTGGAGGAGGATGAGGAACATGAGGAGGAGGCGGGAAGAAGAGGAGGATGAGGAGGAACCTGAAGCGAGGAGGAGGTGATGAGGATGAGGATGAGGATGAGGAGTGGGGAGGAGGAGGAGGAGGAGGAGGAGGAGGAGGAGGAGACGAACGATAAAGGAGGCGGAGCAGGAGGAGGAGGAGGAGAACGCGGAAGAACATGCGGAGGGGGAGCATGAGCACTTGCAAGACCAGGATGAGGAAGAGGAGGAGGATGAGGAGGAGGAGGCGGATGAGGAAGATAAGGAGGAGGAGGATGAGGAGGAGGTTGAGGAGCAGGAGCACCAGCAAGAGGAGGAGGAGGAGGAGGAGGAGCAGGATGAAGCGGATGAGAAGAAGGATGATGATGCTGCTGAGGAGGAGGATGATGAGGATCAGGATGTGGAGGAAGAGGAGGAGGAGGAGGAGGAGGAGGAGGAAGAGGAGGAGGAGGGGGAGGAGTAGGAGGAGGAGGGGGAAACGGAGGAGGAAGAAGAGAACGATGAGGAGCAGGGGGAGGGGGAGGAGAAGCAGGATGAGGATGCGGAGGAAGCGGAGGATGATGAGGACAAGCTAGGTGCGCTCGCGTCGTTTGTGACGTCCGACCCCTCCCTCCATCCCTTACCATGGCGTAGATCTTCTCTCTATTCGCACAGTCTGAGGTCGTAGCAGGGCGTACCATTACATGGCTTAACATGGTGTTGACGATCAACGCGTAGGCTGGCATAGCATGGCGTGGCGACGCCCCAAAATGGGGGGGGCTTCTGCGGCCCTAAAAATCAACGAATCGACACCGAATGTGCAATCACTTCCGATGGTTGTTTCGGGGGGCCATTTTCTAGATGTTGAAGCCCCATTTGGCAGGACCGAAAACCGTGCGGTGACATGGCGCTGGACATAATGACGCCACCGCTGCAGCGGGAACACGATTCGGAGGATGCGTAGACTGACATAACATGGCGTGGCGACGCCCCAAGGTGTGGGGGGGGGGCTTCTGCGACCCCAATAAACAACGAATCGTTGATGGTCTCCATGGTTGTCCATTTTCTAAATTTTGGGGTCTATTTGGAAGGACTTAGAACCGTGCCGTGGCATGGCGCTGGAACTGATGACGCCAGCGCTGCAGCGGGAGCACGACTCGGAACGAGCGGAATCGCGGAAATGAGGCCAGCGCTGCAGCGGGAGCACGATTCGGAAGGAGCGGTAGCCCGAACATCAGGCCAACGCTTCAGCGAGAACAGCATTTTGACAACAGGCCCAAGCGAGAAGCCGTTTCCCGGGAATCCTGTGCGTGCTAAACCCGTAGGCGAAGGGGGGGGGGTGTCGACTATTCCGCGGACGTCATCAGGGGAGAGAGGAGAGCAGTACTCATGTAGGGTATTTGGGGAGGAGGAGGAGGAGGAGGAGGAGGAGGAGGAGGAGGAGGAGGGGAGGAGGAGGAGGAGGAGGAGGAGGAGGAGAAGGGGAAGCGGAGGAGAGGGGAGGAGGAGGGAGGAGAGGAGGCGAGGAGAGGGAGGAGGGGAGGGAGGAGGGAGGAGGAGGAGGAGGAGGAGTGAGGAAGGAGGCGGAGGAGGAGGAGGAGAGGAGGTGGAGGAGAGGAGGAGGAGGAGGAGGGGGAGGAGGAGGAGGAGGAGAAGGAGGAGGAGGAGGAGGAGGAGGAGGAGGAAGGGGAGGAGGAGGAGTGAGGAGGAGGAGGGAGGGATGAGCAGGAGGAGAGGAGGAGGAAGAGGAGGAGGAAGGGGGGGAGGAGGAGGGAGGAGGAGGAGGAGGAGGAGGAGGAGGAGGAGGAGGAGGAGGAGGAGGGCGAGGCGGAGGCGGAGGAGGAGGGGGAGGAGGCGGAGGAGGAGGAGGAGGGGGAGGAGGAGGAGAGGAGGAGCACGAGGATAAGGGAAGGAGAGGAGAAGGAGGAGAAGGAGAGCAGGAGGAGGAGGAGGAAGAAGGGAGGAGGAGGTAGGAGGAGGAGGTGGTGGAGTCTGGAGGAGGAGAAGGAGGAGGAGGATAAGGAGAAGGAGGAGGGGAGAACAAGCAGGAGCAGGAGGAACAGGAGGAGCAGGAGGAGCAGGGGACTAGCAAGGAGGAGGAGAGGAGGAGGAGGAGGAGGGGGAGGAGGAGGAGGAGGAGGAGGAGGAGGAGGAGGAGGAGGAGGAGGAGCAGGAGGAGCAAGAGGATAAGGAGGAGCAGGAGGAGGAGGAGGAGGAGGAGGAGGAGGAGGAGGAGGAGGAGGAGCAGCTTTATTCAAATACCCGCACCGTACGCTCAAGGCCATTCCACTCCTCCTTATCTTCTCCACCTCACCTTTCTGGGCGAGCGTAGGCACAGCTAGGTCCCCACTCCAAAAGAGCATTGTAATTGCACCACCTCCTCAAGAGCATGGTAACTGCACCCCTCTGCCTCACCCCAAAAGAACAGGCTACCGCAGCCACCTCCGCGCCAAGCCCGTTTTGCGCCGCCCGTGGCATTCAGCTCCTACGCACCCACCTTCAACGAAGTTCTTGCTCCTGTACGATTTGCACCGCCTGTTGCTTTTCCTCCTACGCACCCACCTTCATCGCAGTGCTCCATCACACCTTTTTGGCCGAGCGAAGGCGTTGCAACACCGCCTGTCGTATCCCGTTTAGACGCGCACCCACCTACAGTACCTACCTACCTCTGCGTCCTCCCGGCTCCACCTCCTGTTTACCTTTGAGGTCTCCTATACCTCCTTCCTCCTTCCTTCCTTGCGAACAGGGGGTAAACCACCTGCAAGGCCTAGAGGCGAACGCTCACCTCCTCTTGTCCCTCCCCTCCTCCCCTCTGTTTCCCTTCCTCCCCTTCGTCTCTTCCTCTTCCTTCCCTCTGAGCGTTCGCCTCTTGGAGCCTCTCCACTCCCATCTGGGTCATTTTGTTACCTCGCTTCTTACTTCTTGCTTCTCACCTTTTCCCAAATGCGCCCCCACCTCCCCGCGGGGCTCAACCGCGGGGAGGTGGCAGGACAGGTCTGCACAGCTGCAGGATCACCTTCAGCAGCCATGAGTCAGCCAGCCGAGAGGAGCTCTCTTCCCGCGGGCGCCTGCTGCAGCTCGGCGGGCCCCAGGCCCGCCGCCTCGCCCTCTGCGAGGGCGTCCTGCAGCTCGCCGAGCGGCACGGCGCTCGGCGCGAGGCGACCGGGCGAGGGCGGCGGGGCCCGGGCGCTGCCGGCGGCGGGCGGCGAGCAGGGCCGCGCAGTGCCTCGGGAACCTGCTGACCCGGGTCAACCCAGACCCGGGCCAGTCAGGCCTTGCAGGATCCTGCAGGATCCTGCACCCGAGCCGGGGTCCCATGCGACCCTGGCTCTGCAGGATGCTGCGGGATCGGGCGCTCTGGCGGACCCCCGTTTGCACTGACCTCCGTCTCAAGGCTCCCGAGGTGCCGAGGCCGCCGGGCGCGCCGGGCGCGCCGAGGAGCCCCGGGGAGTCCATGTAGGGCGGCGCTTCCTGCAGCTGCTCCAGACAGGATCCCAGACATCCAACGGATTGAAGAAAGCAAGACGGAGGCTTTTCTCCAGTTTCGGCCTCTAGCGGCCCTCGCCGGGCCCCGGGACCGTCAACAAAACTACTCAGGTTGCAAAACCGATCCTGGGGAATGGGTCGAGACTTCCGGGGGCCCCGCATGGAACAAATCACGACATCGGATCTCTGGGACGGGGTCGTGAAACAACCGGGTGGGGCATGTCTCGCTCTGCTCGGCCCGTGGAGGCCCTCGCCGGGCCCCGGGGCCGTCCACAGCAGGTGGACTCAGGACGAGGAGCCGGTCCCGGGGAAGGGGCTCGGACCGCTGGGGGCCCACGCCCATGAAAGGCTCATGACGTCGGGGGTCTGAGGAGAGCCGAGGACCCGATGCTTTCGACGCCGTGCTTTCTCCCACACGCGTCGGCCCGCAGGGCCCGTCCTCGGGCGCCGGGGGCCCGCTTCAAAGTGAGCCGGGACGGAGAGCCGCCCCGGGGGGAGGGGGTCGGGGCCCCTGGGGCCGCAGGCAAAGAAAGCAGCTGGGCGGATGTCTGGGCGGTTGGGCGGCTGTCTCCAGCTGCGTGGCGCTGCTGTGCTCCCTCAGATCCTGGCGCATGCGGCCGTTCCAAGGCGGGCGCTCTCGCCCGGAGACTCGGGCCCCGGGACCCTCACGGGCAGATCTACGTCGGGCTCGCCGCAGAAAACGGAGGTCTGGGGTCTGGGGCTCCGGTCGTGATGTTCGCGATGCCACTTCTCTTCGCAACACGTCGGATCTCAGGCTTCTTGCTCGCTGGGGCATCTGACACGCCTGCGGAGCTGCACGCTGGCACTGCCCCTCTTGCCTGTGGCGCTGCCGCGTTCTTGCTCGGAGCGCGCCCCGCCTGAGGCGGCGGGGAGCTTGCGAGATCCACCTGACAGAAAGCCGCTGGCCCCGCCAAGGAGCCCTGGGGAGTCCCGCGGGATGCAGGGCGGTGCGTTCTTAGAGGCCTTCTACATTTAAGCCGGACCTGTCCTTCTACAGGAGGAATATTCAAAAATAGTCCAAAAATAATGCGGGGATCATTTTTCTTTGATCATTTTGAAATCTGTTTTGACTATTTTCAATTTTCCGTCCAAAACCCCCCTGTAGGGGGACAGGCCCGACCTAATCCTACATGGTGTCCCAGTAGATCCCAGTAGATAAGGGGTGGAGGATCACGTCGCGTCGTCGATGCCTCGCCGGTGCATCGGCGATGCATTGGCGCCGTCGGCGCGGAGCAAATCGGGCCCCACATCGAGCTGCATCGCCGATGCAGCGGCGGTGCGGCGCAATCCTCCGACCCCATCGGCCCGGACCCAATCTCTGGGCACGCGTCCTGGCGTTTTCTTCTGTTGGGGGGGGACCCAGACCCCCGACGTCATGAACTTCTCGTGAGGCCCGGTGGGGGCCCCCAGGAGCCGAAAATGGCGAAAAACCTCCCGTTGTGATCTTTTCATGCCCGAATCGTTTTTTGACGCTCCCGAGGCCTGGTGAGGGCCCCCAGGGGCCGAAAATGGCGAAAAACCTCCCGTCGTGATTTTTTCATGCCCGAATCGTTTTTTGACGGTCCCGAGGCCCGGTGCATGCCCCCAGGGGCCGAAAATTGCGAAAAACCTCCCGTCGTGATTTTTTCACGACCCGAGGGGCAGGAGAGCCCAGAGTCGAATCGACAAGTCGGATCGGCGATCGCAGTCGAATCGACAAGGCTGATCGGCGATCGCAATGAATCGGGTCGGCGAACATCGGCACCTGTGTCGGAAGGAGTCGAATCGGCGGAAATCGGCAGGCTAGCATGCCAGATCGGAAGCCGAAACTCAGTCGACCTCGGACTCCGACATCGAACTGGATCGGAACCCAAATCGGAATCTGACATCGAATCGAAACCGGCATCGGAAGCCACCGAGACCCAGACATGCGACGTCCTGATATTTTCAGGACGGCGTCCCCGGAAGTCCAGACCCTTTCCCCGGGGGCCGGTTTTTCGCCCCGAATCGTTTCTTGACGCTCCCGGGGCCCGGCGAGGGCCCCCGAGGGCCGAAAATAGTGAAAAACTGGCCGTCCTGATTTTTCTTAGCGACGCGATCACGTCTGGGGAGAGAGTCGAATCGACGCGGGGGAGAGGCGGGAGAGGCGGCGAGGCGGGGAGAGGCGGGGAGTCGAATCGACGCGATCACGTCTGGGGAGAGTCGAGCCGTTTTTTTTTGGGGGGGGGTGGGCGCCGCGTCCTGGCGGGGGGCGGCCGCGGCCGGCCCGGAGAGGCGCCCCGTGGCCAGGAAGAGCCTCCCGGGGATCGACCCAGACGACGTTTTCGGTCGCGCTTCGTTTTCGCCTTCGTTTTCGGTTTCGTTTCGGTTTCATCTTCGTTTGGTTTCGCTCTCGTTCCGCTTCGTTCTCGTTCTGTTGTCGCTTTCGTCTTCCGTGTTCGTTTCGATTTCGTTTCGGCTTCGACCCGCCTCTTGCTTCCCAAACGGGAGATCGGAGCGACAACTGTCCACGACATCGCAAAGACACCGTCTGGGTCGATCCCTGGAGGAGGAGGAGGAGGAGGAGGAGGAGGAGGAGGAGGAGAAGGAGGATGAGGATGAGGAGGGAGTAGGAGTAGGAGTAGGAGTCAAGCTAGCCAGCTCGAGCGAGTCAAGCATGGCATGCCCAGTCCCACCCGCCCTCCCACAACATAAGAAGCAAAGCTGGCACAACTGGGGGCCGAAGTCACACCGGCCAGCCGGTTTGGTACAGCTGATGCGGCCGCGATGGCGGTTGCCGACGGGAACTTGCGAGCGCGTGTTGAATGCCGCGCACGCATTGCCAGACGAGTCGAGAATGGCCCGGTACACCGCAGGAAGCCAGAGACGGACAGGAGGAAAAACGTTGGTGCGCGGCGCCGAGGCGAGAGCGACATGTCACCCCTTCGCGCGGGGTGTGCGCCGCGTCCCATTCCTGCCACGCATTTTGCGACGTGACGACAGCACGACCATGTTGACAAGAAAAACAAAAACTGTGTATTGTCTTTTGCAGATTAGAATGGGACGGATTGGATGGGCGGGCGCGGGGTGTGCGCCGCGTCCCATTCCTGCCATGCATTTTGCGACGTGGACGACAGGACGTCCATGCGACGGTGCCAATGACGGCGACGACTCTAGAAGGATTTGAGCATGCGCTCGCGGCGACGCGCGCGCATGTCGCCCGCGTGGTATTTTTTGCACAGGATTCGCGGCCTGGGTGCATGACAGAGCATCGCGAGTGCACCGCGCGATGACGTGAAATCGCTGGATTTGACAGAATTCTTAAGATTCCTATGGTTTTCCTATGATTTCAGCAAGAGAGCCCGGGCAGGAAATTTGTAGTTTTTTTGTGAAAAAGCATTGGGTTTTTGATGTTTTTATGTTGAAATGCTTGCAAACACACTGTGTTCGGTAGGATTCTGACATGAACGCGCGCGTGTGCTCTTTGTGGTATTTTTTGCAATGGATTATCGCCGTGGACGACAGGACGTCCATGTCGAGAGGAAAAAATAAGAAAAATGTTGATTTTGTATTGTTTTTTACAGGTTAGGATGGGACCACCCGGATGGGGCCCCTATCTGCCGGCCTGAGGGGGGAGTAGGAGTATATTCTAATAAGGAATAAGGATAGGAGTAGGAGTAGGAGTAGGAGTAGGAGTAGGAGTAGGAGTAGGAGTAGGAGTAGGAGTAGGAGTAGGAGTAGGAGTAGGAGTAGGAGTAGGAGTAGGAGTAGGAGTAGTAGGAGTAGTAGGAGGAGGAGGAGGAGGAGGAGGAGGGAGGAGGAGGACGAGGAGGGAGGCTCGAGGAGGAGGAGGAGGAGGAGCAGGAGGAGGAGGAGCAGGAGGGAGAGGGGGCATCGAGCGATAGGAGGACGAGGGAGGCTCGCAGAGGGCCCCCGTGCCCCCACGCGCAGGCGCCTTTGGCGCCGCCGCGAGGCCGTCCGTGCGGAGCGTGTCGGCCGCCGACGCGGTGCTGTCGCTCGAGGTGTAGTTCGAGGGGCAGCGGCGCAGCACCACGAGCGGCTCCTGCGCGGTGCAGGGAGCGCTCAGCATCGGATCGTCCTCCTCCTCCTCCTCCTCCTCCTCCTCCTCCCCTCCTCCTCCTCCTCCTCCTCCTCGCTCCTCCTCCTCTTCCTCCTCCTCCCCTTCTTCCTCCTCCTGTCCTATATCTTCTGCTCCTCCTCCTCCACCTCCACTCCTCCTCCCCTCCTCCACCTCCCTCCTCCTCCTCCTCCCTGCTCTCCTCCACCTCCTCCTCCTCCTCCTCTCCCTCCTCCTCCTCCTCATCCTCTTCCCCTCCTCCTCCTCCACCTTCCTCCACCTCCTCCTCCTCCTCCTCCTCCTCTCCTCCTCCTCCTCCTCCCTCCTCCTCCTCCTCCCCCTCCACCTCCTCCTACTTTTCCACCTCCTCCTCCTCGTCCTCCCCTTTCTCCTCCTCCTTCTGCCCTTTCTTCTGCTCCTCCTCCTCCTCCTCCTCTTCCTCCTCCTCCTTCTCTTCCTCCTCCTCCTCCTCAAAGACATCGGACCGGATCGGAAGGTGCGTCGCGTCATGGGACGTACAAGAACATTAGAAGAAGAAAGAACGACATAAACATAGACGTTTGGCGCTCCGCGCGGTTTTCTTGGATCTGCGCTAGACACCCCTTCCTGACGCGCGGAGCGCGCCAGGGGCGGCGCCGGAGGCGCTGCCAGGGGGTTCCCAGTGCGAATCCCAGAAATCCGCGCGGAGCGCCAAAAGTTTGTGTTTATGGCGTTTTTCTTCTTCGAGACATACCAGTACTATGTGTCCTCCTCGGAGGCGTGCGTCCGACCCGAACATGTCGTGCAACCATCTTGTCGTGTACCGCTTCCCGAGCGGTGGGGCCAGAAAGCACCCGCCACGGAGCGTATACGAATCATGAGATTCCTCGGCGCGTACGTCGCCTCTGGCGGGGCGCCGCGCACATAGCAGTAGTACGTTGGCGTGACGCCGGCATCAGGCCGCAACGGCCCTGTGGGACAAGAACCATCAGGCCAACTGCGAGACCCAAGCGAGCATTCGTACAGACGTCTTGGCTGCGCCCACACCCGCGCCCCCTGGGAGGGTTAGCGCTCAGCGAGGATCGCGCGAAACGTCCCAAGATCGGTCGCACCTCGCACCGTGCTTGAATCGAAAAAACTGCGTGTCCACATACTTGTTTGAGATCCGCGCAGATTTCTGGGACTTGCGCTGCGGCGCCGCCCCTGGCACGTTCCGCGCGCCCACACCAAACAACCTGCGAACCATATAACATCAAACAACAACAACAACAACAACAACAACAACAACAACAACAACAACAACAACAACAACAACAACAATCACTTTACCCGAACGCTCAGTGTTCTCACCAGTGCCAGGGTTTTCATGCGACGCCAGCCAATACCCCCACTTTGTGGGGGGCAGTGCAAGCTCTACCAAATAACCACACGACTCTTCGCCACCACCCACACCCAGCTTCCCGCCCTATGACGTTCGGACACTTCACTTCGTGGCCTGCGGACGACCGTGGCTACTACACTGGCGTGGAGTACACACCCACAGAAGTTGTTTAGCCTACGTTCGTACACCCACAGAAGTTGTTAAGCCTTGTTAACCCACAGAAGTTGTTAACCCACGGTGCGATTCGTGTGATTTTATGATGCGCGGTGCTAAAATTCTTAAGAAGCCCAATGGTTTTTGGAGATTTCGGCGTGCGCGCGCGAAGAAAAAAACGAATCTGTCCCGCATGGTATTATTTGACAGGGATGATGGCCCTGGCAGGTGCGCAACCGTTGTCGCAGAAGTTCGAAAAAGTTGCTCGCAAAAGCCCGTTTGACAGAAATGTTTAAAAAGTGTTGGTTTCCTACGAATCCGCAAGAGCGCGCGGGATGAGATTTTGACATTTTTTTGTTGAAAAAACCATTGGTTTTTTGATGTTTTTATGTTAAAATCGTTCCGAACACTAAGCTTTTGGAAGGATTTCGTCTTGCGCGCGCGAATGTCCACTTTACCTTATTTTTTGCAAGGGATTCTTGAAATTTGATTATATTAGAACAAGAAATGTCATTTTCTATAGTTTTTTGCAAGGGAAAGCGGATTACAACAAAACAACCGGATCCTGTACACACCCTCTTTTCTGAGGCTTCCTCACGAAAATGATGAAAATGTAGCTGCGGCCTATCGGCGCAGGGGGGGCGCGCACCAGGGGGCCCAACAATAATTATTCTTTAGAATAAATGATGTTCAACAACAAGGTTAAAGGTCCCCCGCAATGGCCCCCCCGGGGAGCGGGCGCGGATCCCCGTTTCCACCACCGTGTAGGAAGGCCGGCACAGCCCCCCCCGGTCAGCAGTCCAAGGGTGGGGGGGGGGAGTGGGGGGGGGGGCGAACAACACAAAACAACATCCAGGGCATCCTTTGAAAAAGTGTAAACAGATGTTCAGAAGGGGGAATCCTTAGGGAATCCCTCGGGAGTCCTAGGGAATCCTTAGGGAATCCTTAGGGAATCCTTAGGGAATCCTTAAAAATCTTTTAAAATCCGTAGGGGGTCCTGAGGGAATCCTTCAGAATCCCGAGGGACTCCTGGAGGAATCCTTAGGGAATCCTTCAGAATCCCTAAGGACTCCTGAGGGAATCCTTCAGAATCCCTAGGAGCTCCTTAGGGAATCCTTAAGCATCCCTTGGGCATCCTTCAAGAATCCTTAAGAATCCATGCGAAGTCCTCCGGGAATCCTCAAGAATCCCTAAATAATCCTTCAGAACCCCTAGGGAATCCTTAAGACTCGCTGGGGAATCCCTAGGGACTCCTTAAGCATCCCTGAGGAAGCCTTAAGAATCCCGAAGGAATCCTTCAAAATCCCCAAAAGGAATTCCGAAGGAATCCTTCAGACTCCCTAAGGAATTCTTAAGAATCCTTAGGGAATCCCTCGGGGATCCTTCAGAATCCTCCAGAAATCCTTACGAATCCCTAAGGAATCCTTGAGATTCCCTAAGGAGTCCCTACGGAATCCTTAAGAATCCTTAAGGAAGCCTTTGGGAATCCTGACGGAATCCTTACGGAATCCTTAAGGAACCATCAAGAATCCCTGAGGGATCCTCCGGGAATCCTCCGGGAATCCTACAGAATCCGTAATGAATCCCTCGGGAATCCTTAAGAACCCCTAGGGCATCCTTCAGAATCCCTAAGGATTCCTCAGGGCATCCTTAAGAAGCCCTAGGGACTCCTTAGGGAATCCTGAAGAATCCTGAAGAATCAGTAGGAATCCTCAAGGAACCCTCA